CTCTTGGTCATACATTATCAGTTGTCTACCATCCTTTATCGTCTGGTATTGGTTTAATGTGAGTTTAGTGCAAAAAACAAAAACGCTGCAAAAACGTAACGTAAGAATCTTGACACATCAATTTCGTTATCCCCACTATTTCAGAGCGTATAACATGCATGAGGGGGCAGGAGATTTCAAAAATGAGTAGCTCAGGTGCATGACACTCTAGAGCAGTGGAACGGTATTGTCATGTGTCGGGCAGTACCGAGTAAACACATGGGGCACCGGAAAGCGGCTCTGGTAGTACACTGTGCCAAAATGTTTTCCTCGGAAATAATTAACAAATTTTTGTTTTTGTTCCAGGTAAGTTCAGCATCCAACCGTCCGCTATTACCATGCCCAAGTATCATACACGTAAGTCAACAACAAGTTTAATAGCCAAAAATTACGTGGTACAGGAAGCAAAGGAGTGCAAACAGGCTGGCATTTGCGTCCATAAATAACTTGCGGGGCCGCTCTTTTCCGTTCCGGCCGAGATTTAAGTCTTACTCAGGTTGGGTTCCCATATTGTTCTGCGCGAGGGTTCGGTTGTTAAATCAACGAGCGGACGCACACCTGTTATTTTGTTGTCGAGTAAATCTCGATCGGTAATCGATGGACCCGTCCGTCGAGTTGCGGTGGAACGGCTTAAAAAAATTACGAAATGGTGGCGTGTCGTAAAAGAAGCAGTTTCGTGGGCGTTGACCATGTACAGGACGAGCAGTTTTGACAGTCGTTTACGGATAAAGTTTGTTTGTTCCTAATAAGCGGAGTTTTACCAAGAAATCATTGTACTTGGACTTGCCGCGGTTTCCAGAGTACTAGAGCCCCGACCGGTACGGTGGTGGCTGGTATCCCGCCAACTGATTTGCTGTTATAGTAGGTTATATCAGTTTATTCGAATGTGCGGAATATTCCATTAAAAAAAAAAACTGTTAATATGTCAGTTTTTCTTGGAGGTGATGTCTCACGTTTATTGCGCGTTCAGATAGAACCTTTCTAAATAAGAAGATTGATATCACATATTATCAAGTTTGTGGACCTTTCAGCGATGCAGTGTAAAAAATTTGACACATCTCCCCATTTTATATAAAAAATGTTGCAAGATGGCTCCCAGTCACCATCTTGAAATTTGAAACCGTTATTTTTACTTTGAAATATAGTATTCATTCACCTGTTTCATAGCCCAGAATTCCAGCTTCCTACCTCGATTTGTACAAAAAATAAGTGGGGTGCAACCTTAATTCTTGCTTAATTCGGAATGCGACGCATTGCCCGAAATAATTTGGAGATGACTCCTTGCTGTATCATGCTTTCTGAATTAACTGATCAATTAAGGTAAAGGGCATGGAATTATCTATATACGAGTATACCTGTCAATATGCATACATCGTCATCACACGGTTACGTGCAAAAGTCCCGTACAGTTCCAAGTCCATCGCTTGTTTTGAAATATTCAAAATTCCAACACCACCACCTGTGGCTGTACGAGGCGATAAAGAGACTGTGTTTAGATGGTCCTGAGAGCCGTACGTGCAAGGATGAGGTCAGGGAGAGTACGATACATGAACATTTCTAGATGGGCCTGTTAAGGTGGTTACTTCGACTATTGACAGATAAGTAGCACATGCACGTACGCACTCTGGACTAAAAACTGATACCTACTGGTATTAGAGGCGCTATTGCAATACGTAATATTACTCTCATATCGTCGTCCATAACACGAAGCGGCGTATCTCATTTTTCTAATTTTACAGAAAAGCGTTTTAAATATTTTCACTAGGTTTGAGTTGTTGCTGGCAAAAAGGTATTATAGCTGCATAAGTGAATTTGCAGGTATATCTGCTCATGTTTACAAGCTTTTCAAAAATGAGCAACGATTAACCCATTTTTCATTGCATGTGTTCAAAATTTCCAAAAAAGTAGATACTTCATTTTGTGAAAATGAAAGGTCGTAATTCATAAAATAAATACTTAGTTTCGTCCGTGTCATATTAAAGTGATGAAAAAAAATGTTTTATTACAAGACAAAATGGTTACAAAAGCGAAACGGTGAATATTATGGCAAAATAAGTATCCGCACTATCTAAAACCATTTAACTCTCTATCAAAGTTCAATATGGCAGCTCAAACAAAAGACTCACCCAAATAATAATGATATAACAATATCTGTTAAAGATAAATAAAATAATAATTAGTATTGAAGGACAAAGATTTAAATAGAATCTTCTTCACACAGCGACTTCAAATCCTTATACTTCTTTCGTAGTAACTTTTCTTGATTCGGCACTCAGAACTTCGAGTGAAACATCGTTTAAATTGATTTTTTGTTTTCTCAGTCTAAAAAAACTGAAGGTGAAATTGAAAAGATAAATACGTCACAGTATAGTGATAAAATTAAAACTACAATCTTACGAACTGGCGTAACTTGGATAAGCCATTAACTGTAAAATGATAAGTATATTTTATAATTTCACAAATTGGTGGAAATGGAGTTAAGCTCCCTCGTTAAATTTAATTTCCTATTAAAATGAGTCTAATATTATTTTTCTATAAAAGTGCAGGTATTAGAAACTGACTTATGCCACTTCGTAATATTGAAGAGCAACCTTTTTTAAGTAATAAAATAGATTTAACTCAATTTTCGTATTTTTTGAGATACGCCTTTTCGTGTTATTGGAGACGATATAGGGAATTTTACTACGTAAAGAAAATAGAAAATAATTCCTTATGTGTGCTATCTGCGTATGTGTGTAAGATTTTTCTAGCTAGTCTTGTTCGACTGTTTTTCACCTGCTTGATTATATCATGTAGCAATACGCAGTGTCCATTTTATTATAATCTGGTCTCGAAATGGAAAACACACCGTACGCTACTGTTAACTTTGAATACAGCTGGATTCGCTCGCACAGGCTTTGCCGATTCGAGTGGACGGTACGCTAGCAGTAGCGTACGATGTGCTATGCTACTATCTTCCGTTTTGGTACCCGAGTATACATAAAACGGGGCGGATGGTCGTGGGATGAAAGCATATTCCTATGATCATACAAGTACCATTCCGTATAAAAAGTCCCGTACAATCCCAGCCATCGTCTGATTTGAAATATAGAAACTCCCAACACCACCACCTGTGGCTGCCTGGGGCAATAAAGAGAGTATATGGAGATCGCTGCGCGATAACAGTACGTGCAGAGGTGAGGGACAGGGACAGTATGGAGGACGGTGTGCGGTTCAGAGGTCGCGTACAATTAGCATCTCGCCAAACGAACGTAATTATAGTGTCGGCCGGCCGTAAATATGCGGTTTATATTCACCTAACTGCAGGGCTTCTCGCCACGGCACGACACACAGCCAGCAGAAGAATAACAGACGATGCCGTACAGCTCAAAAACAAACCAAGTTTGCAATGGGATGTTTAGATTGTATACTCTCACAGGAAGAATTTGTGTGAATGAGAGCATTTATTGCCATTGCTCGTCATGTCACACCTCTGTGACTTGATCAATTGCCCCTTCAACTAACGCACTTCCTGCTTTCTGTTAACACGCTTTTATTAGCTTGGCCTGTATTTTCACCAATTTCCAGAAGTTTGATTAATTTGCGACTTCGCGCACGTATCAAGGACCGATGACAATGCACTAATTTGATATCAGTTTTCCATTATTCTTATTAGGACCGATACATTCTTTTATAGATCCTCTGTAGGGGAGTAAGAGAGATAGAGCTAGCGCGCGATCTGCGCATGCGTGCAGTTTCGGCCTTACTCTTTATTGGTTCGGGCACTCGGCAGAGCACAACGGAGGTAGATACTTTTTCAAGGTAGTGGATTGTCACCTTTCTCATTGCGAATGTTGCCATTAATTCTGAGCTGGGCTTGGACCATCCACAAGATGCAAGGATGTGCAGTCGATCATGCTGCTGGCCAAGATTATGAAGCACTCAGTCGTGTAAGATCTTTAGACGGTATTCGGATTGAATTGCTCTAAGTTAACAGGAAGAACCCGATGCAACAGAGAAGCTTCAAATGAAATGATTAGATTAAGAAATATATAATTCTACATGACCACAAAAAAAAAACTAATTGATCGAACTAAAAAGTGAAACATAAATTAATAATAGTTTAAAAAACTAAAAAAAAAACATGCTTTTATAGCTAATCGAACTAAAAAGCAGAAAATAATTTTTAATTACAAAGAGTTTATATTACAGTAGTAGATGATTGAACAATCAATCATAATTAATGATTTCAAAATAAAATTATAATAAAATTTAAGTTATTAACAGAATAATTCAATTTAGAGTAAAAAGCGAATTATTTTCTACTTTCTAGTTCATTTAGCTATTAAAGCGTTTTCTTTTTAGTTTTTTGAACTATAATTTATTCTCCCTTATGCAACATGAAATTTCGCCTCCGGTACACATAACTTAAAGTTATTGATCTGCTTAAGATTTACCTTCCCTCTATCATATTACACACTAATGTATTAGCATTGAATAACCCTGTTAGGGATTCATAAGTCAAGTAGCTTGATATTTGTATAAACTACTTGACCTGACAATAAAAGGACTTGAAACATTAATGCTTAATTCGACTTGATTTTTTTATTGTTCTTCTTATCTTCAGGTCAAGCATATTCACACCACTTGATGCTGGCATGTTATATTTTTGTTCCACTAAAGACCTTCAGTGATATTTATCTCAGGGAACTATTTTGGGTCCAGTGTTAATCTCTCTCTATATCAACGAGTTATAGCATTGTTCTCTTAAAGGTAGATTCACTTTTTATGCGGATGATACTTGTATCAAACCTGTGCGATACTTCACAAAAATTATCAAGTAATATCAAAATTACTTTTCTTAAGTACTTGACGTGAAAACTACTTAACTGGACGTTGCTAATATCGAATCAAACTGAAGTAAGTAGCTTGAAAATCAAATCAAGTCGTGAATCCCTAAACCTCCACGAAGATTAATACACATCTGCATGCGCTCGAACCAATTTTCGAAGCACTTATTCCACTCGTTTGCTGGCAGATCCAAAACGGCATTTTTGAATGCGTCAACTGCTTCTTCTGGTGACTGGAACCTTTTACCACGCAGTCTGTTTTTAATTTTCGGGAAAGTAAAGAAATCGGTAGGACTTAGATCGGGACTATATGGAGGATGGTCCAATAATTTCATGTTTTCTTCCGTTAAATACTGCCTTGTTCTTTGGGCTGTGTGCGAGCTTGCATTGTCTTGGTGGAGGATGATTCTTCTTTCGGGTTTGATTTTTCTAAGCTCGGTGATGACTTTTGGCAAACAATTCGTGGTATACCAATCCGCAGTAAGAGTTCTTTGCTCAGTACCCGCTTTTGACATAAATGGCGCGACCCTCTTTTTCGAAACACTTCGAGAACGGATGACTTTTCTTGTCGTTTCTTCATCTTGGAACACCCAAACAGTCGACTGTCGTTTATTTTCTGGTTCATAACAGTAGATCCACGATTCATCACCATTAACAATGCTGTACACATTTTTTTAGTTTCCGGAATTGAAACGGTCTAGCGTTTTTTGACACCAATTAACCCTGGCTGCTTTCTGCTCTTCAGTCAACAGGTGGGGTATCCAACGAGAAACTAATTTTCTTACTCCTAATTCTTCATGTAAAATTTTTTGAATTGAGGTCTTTGAGATCTTCAAGGACGCCTCAATCTCGCGATATGTCACATGTCTATCTTCAATGATGAGTTTGCGCACAGCATCGACGTTTTCCTGGGTGACTGCCATTTTTGGTGCACCAACCCTGGGTTCGTCGCTAAGATTCACCCGTCCACGTTTGAATTCTCCATACCAACGGGAAATTGTCGACTGATGTGGCGCTTCGTTGCCGAAAACAGACAGTAACCCAGCAAGGCATTCTTGTTGCGATAATTGTCTCTGAAAGTTGTAATAAATTATAGCGCGAAAATGTTCTCGGTTGAATTCCATTTTTCTAGTGACTTGGTGACACTTAAAATTTCACTGTAGTGTGAAACTTTGCATTTAAGTTTACTAAAGAGTGAGGTTAAGATTCAGTACTGACGTTCGATCCGCGCGACCTACTATGTTTCTATATGTAACACTTAAAAACATCCCTCGTATTAGTAGATATCCATATTTCGTACACTGTCTTACCACATGGAGCTACGCCTAAGATCTGGAGGTATAATCATGGTTGCCTTTTCTGAATATTTGTAAAAAACTTATATTGATGTTTGTGTTTCACGACACACTTACAAAGTACATATCAAAACAAATGTATAACTTTTTATAAACAAACTGAAATTAATATAGATTGATTATTACAAAATAAATGCTTGAATACCTGTACATAGTGACGCATTTGCATTTTTGATAAATGGGGATTAAGTAACTTAGACCAATAAGTATGGAAATTTCTGAAATGTTTCCGTTATATTGGAATTAAAGCGTATTTCGCGGGGGTATGACGGTTGTTTGAGGTCAGAAGAAATTTAATATTTAAACGTACTTCTCTGATACTAGAGTATTACTTTTAGATTTTATTAATAACTCTCCACCCGTGATAAATGTGATTTACATCGTAACTCTAGGGAAACGGCATTCGAAAATCTGTAAGTTATCTCCTTGCTGACTACCTTTTATGGCCTTATACGGGAGATTTCGCTAATTTGTTTAGTATCAAAAGAGAATTAACTGTTAGTTCGAAATTATTTTCTTTTCTCTCTATAGCCACTTTAGTACTGTTTTGTTATTGTGTCATTGCTGTTTATACTGAAACAGCCGTGAAGGTAGATTTTTGGACTGTCTAAGGTTAGGATGAAAAATCAATCGATCGACATAATCAAAATGAGCAGCAGAGCTCACAGCAGCTGGATTCCTTAGCATTTTTCATAAGAGATCAGATCACTGACTACCTGACGATGTGAGGCTAGCTTGAGAACATAAATTGTTATAATTTTAAGGTCAATTACTTTAGCATATTTTTCATTCAACACGATGCTAGAAATGCAACAAGCAGCTAACTAACATGTTGATTCAACAAGTAAGCATTGCAAACACCTATTAGAAGTGATAATGAACTTAAATTCAAAAAACATACATCACGACGGACCAACTTAAACATTACTATTCGTTGTCATTATCACATGGCATCCCTGCATACATCATACAACACTGAATGAATCTGACACCGTTATCACCATGAAAAAAGTTGACAGGTTTTATGAATGTAACACCTCTATCCATTATTAAATTATATTTTATCGTATATCACAACTGCGAGTTCAGTGAACCGCGGGACTGAACACACGCATCATAGATAGATAGCTTGACATAAACGAGTTTTCGATCAGCTTTTATTTACGATCGTGCTTTGCTTTCACAATACACCTGATTCAATCATTTTCGTTGATTACGCCAACCTCCAATCAATTAGCGGCTGTCAAACTTCCCGCCATCTGCTTACGTGAGAATTAAGACTGGATAAGCGGATTTGGTAGGTGGGTGCATGTCCGAAATGCATTACGGGATTAAAATCAATAGAAAGTATGTGAAGGTGGCAGTAGGTCTACGATTTGTGGGTCGAATAGAAAGGTTTTGGAAGCATTGATAGCCTTTCTCGAGGTATTATCTAGATCTTTCATGAAAACAATTTTCTACAAAACCTAATCTACTATCACTACACAAGCATGCGAGGAGATAACCAAAAATAGCCGGATTAGCATTGCAGTGGGCGGAGCTTGTGTAATACACATTTCTGCTCCTAAAGGCGTACAGCGCAACTCATTGCCAGTTCAATGCCACCTAAGTTGTCGATCTGGCCTGTTTTCTTCCTCTGTAGTCATTATTTTTGCTAGAACCGTTTCGTGCTTGTTTCGTTTTGTACGATGGCAAGCTTCAGCGAGCAACGTGCAGCTGTGAAATTTTGCTTTCTAATTGGTAAAAATGCTGCTGAAACTGTTTTAATGTTGAAAATAGCTTACAAAGATGATGCTATGGGAAAAACTCAGGTGTACGAGTGGTTTGCTCGATTTACAAATGGCGACATGTCGATTGATGACAAACCTCGCTCTGGACGTCAATCAACTGCCCGAATCGACGAAAATGTTGTAAAAAATCGAGAGCTTGTGCTATTTGGAGTGTTTAAGATGATTGCGAAACAGTGTTCGGTAATTGTGGCAGTCAGGACACTGGTTCTTCCACCACGATAATGCACCTGCGCACACAGCCATCTCTGTTCGACAGTTTCTGGCTAAAAATGGCATGGTTCCGCTGCCTGACGAACCTTAGTCGCTTGACCTGGCTCCGTGCGACTTTTTCTTATTTCCACTGATGGAACCGGGCATGAAAGGACGCCGCTTTGAAGAGGTCTAGAAGAAACCGAGGGAGGAGCTGTCAGACATTTCTAAGGAAGACTTCAAAAAATGTTTCGAGCAGTGGAAGCACCGGTAGGACAAGTGTATTAGCTGTAGAGGACAGTATTTTGAAGGAGATAGGTTACTTTCTGAAAAAGTGAAAAGTAAATAGCTTTTAAAAAACAATTCCGTTTGTTTTTTGGGCACCTGCTCGTACATACAGATGCGACAGTGACTGTACGTACATTATTTTATCTGGGTCGCATCATCTATTTGACAACTATAATAACAATTATCATGGGCGCCCGCAGGAATTTTTCCCAGGAGGCACCAGTACAAGCATAAGAATATGCTGCCGAAATTCATTGATAAACAAAAAACGGCTTCGGTAAAGGAATTCGTGAGAAGTATAAGCCCCCAACATTTTTAGAAGAGCGGGTGAAGCCAATTCTCCCTAGGTCAACCAGAGATTCTACCAGAAGGTTTTCGATTGACAAAAACATGTAGCTTTTTATATTAAGTACAAGTTATATTAAATGATACCAACCTATTCTCGATAATCTCTCACTTTTGCAGCTTGATACACTTTTTTGATTATTATTGCAGGTGTCACAGTGACAGTAACGAAAATCCGACGAAACTCAACGTAATGAACTTCTTGACAGAATTTCGTCCCTGGTAGTACTCTGTGATCGGTTTCTTTGGTCTTGCAGTCACCAACGAATTGAAAAGCACCCTACAAATTATCATGGATGCCTGTAGGTATTTTTTACAAAACCGGAAATAAGAAATGTATGGTGTGGTCATATTGATTACGCCAACGCCAAAATACACCACAGTTTTTAATTGAGTAATTCTGTTTTTTAAAATTATTTTTTCAATCTGCCACAGCGACAGTGACGGAAATCTTACCAAATGCAAAGTATCCGATTTCTGACAAGCTATCGCCACAAAAATAACTCTAGAAATTCTAGACAGCGATACAGATCCGTAGAGGACTCTATTGCAAATTTGTTAAATAACTCTCAATGACACTGGATATCAAACGAAATTGTGATAGCAAACTAACCAGTTTAGGCTTTATATGATGGAGCTCTTAGAAAACAATTACGTAACTCATTTCGATCGCGAGGGGTTTTTTGTTTGTTTGCATTAAGATCTATTCAGCATTACATTCTTTAAAAAACTGCAACAGTTGCATAAAATACAAATATTCAGAAAAACAAAATGTCCATTTAAGTTTCTTTTAAACATCTAACTATACAAGTAGACTTTATACCATTATTTAGTTTATTAAATTCAAGTAATTTCTTCTGAAATACTGATTTCTAGTTGTATTAGTATTGCAATCTTGTAAGTGCAAATCTATATTTCCTCTCGTATAATAATTGTGTTAATTATTATTCAATTCTCTGTCTTGTTCCAAATAATGTTATGGCAAATGATGATTTTTTTTATTTCAAATACGAAAATATGAACCAAATATGATATGAAGTTTTTAAATGCGGTAGAATAACTGTATTTATTATACACTATGGAATATGCAGACGCCCTATAAAAGAAATTTGTTTTTAGCTACATTGCTAATTACTTACAGCCTGTATAATGATGACACGCAAACAGGATTTTCAGACCAACTGAACACTTTACTAAGAAACAAAAGGTTTTCTTGTTTGATATCGATAAAATGAGTCGTTTCTTGTGGAGAGTTTTTGAGAGAATTTTCTCTTTCTTGAAGACTGTCGATTTTGAACCGCTCTTCCTTTATGATATCTTTAGTGTATTCAAATTTCATATAGTCCATATAAATACAAAGCGTGTTCCTATTTGCCAGTGGGACATGAATTAAATACCTCGTCAGTAAATAACCTCCCCACACCCAAGAGCCAGGTGACGAAGCCTATGAGCACTTTTTCTGTTTTTCAGTCATACGTAACGACCAGCACAGCCTTTCAGAATCCGAGTTTATCGCACAAAGTCTATATCCGGGTGTATATATTGTATGTATATAGGTCAGGCAGTGCAGTCGTTAATCAATATTTGTCAGGTAGTGAAAAAGCCGTTGCCGTGGCTGTAATCTGGCAGGCGGCAACTAACGAACTCAATTTCCAACGTGTTGTGACCGAAACGGTCGCGGCGGTTCGCGCGTATACAACAACGAATCTCTGCGGGTGTCCATGTCCCTGCTATGCAACAAATCAACCTAGGTAGATGGATTATTGATTAAAGCCATATAGATATATAGAGGAATTACAAATAAGACATGTCCGTGAGCTGAAGACAAGAAGACTAGCAGCGACTTCCTCTCTGACGAGAGGCCTGGAAGTTATCACTGCTTGTGGACGCAACAGTCTTGTACAGCTTAATAAGAAGCGTCCTAGCGCTCATCCGGTTCCTACGGATGGCCGGGTTCTACAAAATTCTACTATTTGGCCTGGTCGTAGTCCCAATCACCTAGGACTTGATCTGTAACGAACACATCTCGTCAATAGCGGCAGCTGCTGAAAAAAGCTAGGCTGTTTGCTTAGGTATAAGAAGTAGTTCTCCACATGATCTCCTCACTCTGTAGAAGACCCAAATAAGATCTAATCTCGAGTTTTGCTCAAATGTTTA